CATATCCTTCCGGTTGAGTGGACGCTGGCGCGTCTTGCAGCCGCTGCTCTCCGGCAACTATTTTTAATTATTCTTAACTATTTTACGTTATTTTATTCTTCTGCCGGATCACTGGACCGTGTATCTACACTCAAGCGAGAGTAAAAGCCTTCACCTCGCTTGGAACGCTCTCATTTAAGTTGCGATCCTGATGCTTCGGTGTGTGAGTGTGGTATACTAACCTCATTTTCCACTCATCTTCTCGAATCTACGCTGCTCCTGCTGCCGTTCTACAATGTGGGCTTGCAAGTTTTACATGTGGTTTATCCTCCTCTGGACTGTTCTTTCAATTTTACACCGACCCGGGGCTGGTCTGACTCTATATACAGCGGCTGATCTCCTACTGCTCCGCGGGCTCCTGTCTGTGCCTCCCCCGCCAGTTTTACAGCTACACCCGGAGATCGCGCTCCTTCCCCGCCGGAGATACTCCCACCGCGGATCTCGCCGGAATTTCCACTTCGATGACTCCAATCCTATAACATCATTCTGGTCCACTGCTCTCCGTTCTCACCGATGCTCAAATCGGGCTGCTGACTACGGTTCGCTTGCTTACCTTGCTAAGGCAGCAAGCCTCGCCCCCGGCTACAACAACTCTTCTTTCAACTTTGGTCTCCTGAATGTCCGCTCTCTCTCTAACAAGGGTCAGCTTATCCAGGATCTCCTCGTTGACCGTAAGCTGGACTTCCTCTGTCTTACGGAGACCTGGCAACAACCTGGTGACTTCTTCCAGCTCAATGCATCCACTCCACCTGGGTTTGTTTACCATTCTCATCCGCGTGGCTCTGGCCGTGGGGGTGGTCTCGCGCTGCTCTATCGCGAGAAGTGGAAGATGTTGCCAGTTTCCATTCCAGTTTTCCGCTACATGGAATGTTCTGTATTTCAACTGCCTGGTCCCACTCCCACAGTTATTGCCACAGTCTACCGCCCTCCCAAACCACACGGTGACTTTTTAAACGAATTCTCCACACTACTTACCCTCCTCTCTACTCTCTCTCCTAATGTCATTCTCCTTGGTGATTTTAACATACATATGGACAATACAAACCTCCCACTCACCAGAGACTTTACCTCCTGTCTAGACAGTTTTGGATTCCATCAGTTTGTTGATTTCCCCACCCACATAAAAGGACATTCACTTGATTTGATTTGTTGCTCTGGTTTAATTCCCTCCAATTGTTCAGCTGATGATGTTCACATTTCTGATCATTTTTTTTTTGTCCTTTAATATCTCCCTGTCTCTTTCTGATTAAGCCAGTCCGCCAGATTTCATTTCGAAATATTAAAAATATTGATCCAGACATCATATCCTCCTACATTGAAAATTTGCCTATACCTGATCTTTCATCTCCGGACCACCTCGCCATCCATTATAACTCTGGACTTTGCTATATTCTTAATTCCCTCGCCCCTCTCAAAACCCGTTCTGTGTCCTTCTCCCGCTCTGCCCCTTGGTTCTCGTCAGAGCTCCGCCTCATGAAAGCCAAGGGTCGCCAACTTGAACGCCTCTATAAAAAAACTGGTCTCCACATTCACAAAGAAATGTACAAAACTCATCTTCTTCTCTATTCAAATTCAATAGCTTTAATTAAATTAAACTACTATTCTGATCTCATCTGCTCTAGCGAAGGAAATTCCAGGTCTCTCTTCTCAATAATGCACAAAATTTTCAACCCCCCTGATTCCCTACCCTCCCACATGTACTCTAGCGAGACCTGTAACACATTGATTATTTTTTTAATAACAAAATCAACTCCATTCATGAGCAATTACATTCGACCCCCTTGCCTCCCCCTCCCCCTTTGCCCCTCCCTAATAGTCAGTCATTTTGTTGCTTTTTATTGCCATCCTCCTTCGAAATTTCTGATCTCATCCGTAAATCCAAGTCCTCAACCTGTTCTCTTGACCCCCTCCCCACAGCTCTGGTCAAAACCTATCTCACTTCCCTCCTCCCCCTCATAACCTCTATTATTCATTCCTCTCTTTCCTCTGGTATTGTCCCTTCACTTTTCAAAACTGCATCTGTCTCCCCGATTCTGAAAAAACCTGGCCTAGATCCAACTGACTATAATAATCTTCGTCCCATCTCAAATCTTCCCTTTATTTCTAAAATTCTTGAAAAAATAGTGTCTGCTCAACTCCACGCCTATCTTACCCTCAACAGTTTCTATGAACCTTTCCAGTCTGGTTTTCGCCCTTCCCACAGTACCGAAACTGCCCTAATAAAAATCACCAATGATCTACTCATAGCTGCTGACTCTGGACTCATCTCCATCCTCATCCTTCTTGATCTTAGTGCGGCCTTTGATACCATTTCTCACACCACTCTCCTCAATAGACTCTCTTCCCTTGGCATCTCCCATACCCCTCTGGATTGGTTCCGCTCATATCTCTCTGACCGCACTCAGTTCATTCAACTCAAATCTTTCACATCCCACCCCTGCCCTGTCACTTCTGGCGTCCCTCAAGGTTCAGTTCTTGGCCCCCTCCTTTTCATCACCTACCTACTTCCCCTCGGTAATATTTTCCGCAAATTCAACATTCATTTTCATTGTTACGCTGATGACACTCAGCTCTATATATCCAGCAAACCCACCTCCTCGCTCCCCCCCTTGTCCCTTACTAACTGCTTACTTGAAATTAAAGACTGGTTCACCTTAAACTTCCTAAAACTTAACAGTGATAAAACTGAACTCCTTCTTGTTGCCACCAAATCCACACTTTCCAAAATTAATAGTTTCACATTACCCATTGATAATTCCTTGGTCTCCCCCTCTCCTCAGGTCAAGAGTCTGGGCGTAATCCTTGACTCCTCCCTATCTTTTCAGTCACACATTAATAACATCTGCCGGTCTGCACACTTCCACCTTCGCAACATTAACCGCCTCCGTCCCTCCCTTACCTTTCACACTGCCTCTATCCTTATCCACAGCCTCATTACCTCCCGCCTTGATTATTGCAACTCTCTTCTTTTTGGCCTCCCTCAAAAATCTCTCCATAAACTCCAACTTCTTCAGAATTCAGCTGCTCGTGTCATCACCAGAACCCCCTCTTTTCATCATATAACCCCTGTCCTTCAACAGCTCCATTGGCTCCCGGTTCAATTCAGAATACAATTTAAAATCCTTCTTCATACTTTCAAAGCTATCCATAACCTTGCTCCTCCATATCTATCTGACCTACTCCACATCGCTACCTCCTCCCGCTCCCTCAGATCTTCCTCTTCCTTTCACCTCACTGTACCCCCTGCTCGACTTGTCACCATGGGGAGCAGAGCCTTTAGCTGCTCTGCTCCCCAGCTCTGGAACTCACTCCCGCCTGACCTCCGCAGTGTTGACTCTTTCCCCCTGTTTAAAACCAGACTCAAAACTCACCTGTTCCAGCTTGCTTATTTGTAAATACACTGTTCTTGTCCTTGTCCGACTGTTTTATACTCTTGTGTTTTATACTCTTTTATAC